TAATCTCTTACAAAGCAGCTAATTTGATGSRTMTGTCAGRTTTTTGGTAAAACTTTGCATAAAARTCAGTGAMAAAGTATACTTTATTTATTTACAAAAATCCAACATCTGCCTGTGAATGGCTTTTTTTTTAAAAAGTAACCTCTTACGACTGGCTTTGCAAATAGGATTTTCAAATKTAAAGCATTTTTCTAGAATTAGTTCAGCGATTTGAAACTTTTCATTCTGTTAAATATTACCAAGCTGCTGTCATGCAGAAATAGGAAAACATTTAAATGAATATTCTGGATAAACAGGCAGCTTCATTGCAATATTGACTAGAGAAAGTCTTCAAAGGATAGGCTGTAGAAGTAAATGTAGCAAAAAAACATTTGTCTTGCTTATGCTTTTAATTTTTCTCTAGTTTCTGTGAAATCCCACCAGTTTATAGGTTTATTCTGCCGTCTGCAGTGGGTTGCAGTGCACAGATGTGCTGTAAGCAGCTGTTCTGATGACTTTCTTGCTGGAATGGTAGAAATTTTCTCTTACCAGGACACAGTAGACAGTACAAATTGCTGAGCAAGAGTTCTGGGGGAAAGGTAAAACACTAACCAGGACAGTGTTTTATGGACGTGCTGCTCTGAGAGAAAACATGAACGATTAGCTAATTTCAGCAGAAGCTATGGTGTCTTTAAATATGTGTGCTTACATATCTGGATTTATGAGTTTGATACTGTAAAGCGTGGTTTCTTTAGGTATTTCTGCATTCTGAGTTTAAGTTTAAATATATATATATATTTGCATATATATGTGGTATGTTGAGAACTTTTACAAATGCTTCATTAACAAATAATATAAATAGCTCTTTTCCTAATGTTACCAGCTTCAGAGTTAAGCACAACTAGTTACAAATAAAATGTCTTCATTYTCCCATAAAAGTGCAGTTCTACTCTTTAAAAATAATTCTGTATCAAAAAAACCAACACATGGGCACATTCACAGCTCTGTGTGCTTCATTAAATAACTTAATGTTTGTTTCCAGCTTCTCSTGCTTCTTAGGAGCATGGGATTTAAGCTGGATCAGCAGGTATCCAGATCTTTTACTGGATACATTTTAAAATTCAGATGCCAGGGCAAGCATATTTTAARATTAACAGCTTTGTCCTGGAGACATTGCTGGGCAAAAAGAAATTGAGATTTTTARTAACTGTTCTTGAGTTTCTTAATTTTGTGGTGTTTTTTTTTCCTAGAGTAGAACCGCACTTGAACTGCCATATCATGTTTAATGAACTTAAACATAACATGGCTTTGTGCCATCCAGTAACAAAGGCACTGTCTTGCTGCTACTTTCTATGAAATTGTACACAATTAATGAAAARCTATTTGGATGGGGAGCCTTAATGTGGTTAAAAAGAAACATAATTAACCCTTTGGGTGCCTTAAGCTAGATCTCATTTAAAGAAGGGGCACTCACTTGGATCTGCAGGCACACAGCTGGTTTCCTCAACAGCTGGATGAGAATTTGCCTTAAGTGACAATGCCCTGGGACTTCCAAAACTTGGAACTCAAAGGGTTATTTTAGACTACTGGTTAAAAAAACATGCCCCTAAACAGGGAACAAAATGAAAAGGTCTGAAAAATTCCTTTGCATACTGTTGTTATTTTTTTAAGTGATGGGTTTATCAGCTTTGGGGACAAAATTACTGTTAAGCTTCTGAAAAAACATCACTGGCCGAAGAATTCTACACAGAGAAAAAGAATACTTGGTGTTTTTATATGACTGTATGTGCAAAACAAATTGCTTTATTAAGTGTAAATTCAGAGACCGGTACACATTTGTGTGTTTACCCTGATGACTGTCSTAGCACCATACAGTAAACTGCAATAATAAAAATGAAACAAGGTCAGTGTGTTTAATTAGCTGATTGCACATTAAAGATGCACAATGCARGCAACTGGATAGTAAAGAATTGCTACAAATGATGCGGTTTAAACTCAGTTCAAACCTGCATCACAAAAAATGAAGCTGACAAGTTAATTTRTGTTCATGCAGTCCTAGTTAGCTGCAAGTGAAGATTGATGCTTTTCTCCCTCGAGGGGAAAAAAGTAGTTTAGGTACATGCAGTGCTGAAAGCAATGGAAATAACAAGAGTCTTAATTCACAAAAAGTGAGTAAAAAATTCATTGACTAATGTTTTTATTCTAATGTGTGCACCTTTAGTTGTGTAATGGTCCCTTTAACTGAAGAATGGGCTATAATTTTCTATTTGCATATGAACTTCTTTGAAATAACCAAGAGTCTTGGCATTGCCTGGTCTGGCTTTGGATGTACATTGTACTGAAACTATGGAATTTTAGTCATTTCTTTTAGACATTTAACTGAAAGTTAAAATGGCTAGTAAACTGCATTCTGACTGTAGAATTTAAGTACTAAATAAACTCTATGCATATTAGACCCATTTCACCTGGTGTTACGTTTCTGTTGTTGGGTTGATTGTATCWTTGTTTGCAGTTGAGTGTTTCAGCTGTCTGCCCCCCTGGAAGGACATTCCTGAACAGCAGTGTGCAGACTGAGACTTSACAGTGCAGAGGAAAGATGAAAGCTCTCACTCTCCAAAGCTGCCAGAATCTTTATTCCCTTTTCTGTTCGAGTGGGGACACAGTGTGGGAGCTGGGTGATCAGGCACTGGAATACAAGAGAGATTGACATGCATACACCAATATAGCTACAAACTGGGTTTGCTTCACACTTCCTTCATTTCAGTTGGACAGACAGGAATTATATTTAGAGAAACGATTAAATTAAACAGACAATTTATTGGAACAAAGCTAGAAAGCAAATCGACGTGCAGCAAAACCCACAGGATTCTCTTTGCAGAGGCCGGACTTCCCCGGAGCAGGACGTAATCGCCGTGAAATGACAACACTGTCTCACTAAGAGCCCCAAGAGTTACATCATGTTTGCTAATGACCATTTGGGTTGTGGGAAAGCTGAGGCAAGGACACCAAGTAATTTGCCAAGTCCATAAAGTCTGTCAGAGAGGGATCTGTGATTCAGAAAGCCATGGTTTGAGGTTGCCGAGTGCAGCTCACGCCGTGTGTGATTTTCTGAATTCATCTGAAATTYTGTTCATACAAAGGAAGACAAAGCGAAGCTGGAGAGGGTTGCTCAGTAATTTGCTTTCATTTGACACTGATGAACTAAAGGAAGCAGTCTGCCTTCCTCATGGAGCTTCTGAGTATCTGTTGCACCKCCAACACAAGTCCCATTGATAAAGACTCTTGGGACCTATCAAGAAAACAAAAGTTGCATTAGTTACTTCTTGGGAAAAGGATAAAAATCCAAGCAAGCCCATGTGGACTCCAGTRCACAAAACAGTTGTGTTCCTTTAGGTGTGTGTAAAATATTAGKGTACAACCCATACTTTTCCATAATATTTACAGAGATGGAAAAGTCTGTGTGCCCCTCAAAAGTGGGATGAAGTCACTGTGTGGGTGATTGTAATAAATGGCAATAATTGAGTCAAGTGAGACTATATAAAATTCAAAGTGTTGAACACAATGGTTCAAATATACAAATGAAAAATTACTTTGATACCTCAATTATTTTAGTGGCAGTATGGAAAACTCAAYTCTGAGGGACAGCCAGAGGGGCTCAGGAAGAAGAGGCAGAACCTTCCTGCAGTATTTTATTTAGGAGCTTGTATCCTAAATTTAACCATCTCGAAAAAATTAAGGACTTGATACAGATATAACCTAAAAGCAATGTGTGTAGGCCAAGTTGTTACTTCTTATGTGTAAAAGAATATACTCACAGTTCTGGCACCAGTCATCTTCTCCAGAATTTCTTGGAACTGCCTTCCATTTGTATTGWCATCCAGTTCCACAGCTGTGTAATTCACATTCAAGCCCTCAAACAGGTTTTTTGCCATTTTGCAGTATGGGCATGTGGTTTTAGAGAAAATCACCACACAGTTGTGTGAAATAATRTCCTGTGTGCTCAGAAGAAAGTTCAAAGTCAGTGAGCTTCAACACAGCACTTCCAACACTACTGACCATCTATAAAAACTAATGTTAAAAACATGTGAAACATGTTAAAAACTAAAAACATGTCCAAAACCTGCTGTTATGGTGACAAACAAAGGAAAATTACTGCTGGCACCTCTGCARGCAGGTTTGACCTGCACCTGACTCCAAAATGAAACAAGGATKTGGAGTGTGTGGTACAATTGCCTTGCCATGTACTTGCCAGCCCTGAGCCTCTCTGCTCTGCAGTCACCTCCTTCAATCTGCCAAGCCCAATGCATCTCCCTGAATGGTTTAGGACAGTTTTCCCTTTTTGGGATGTGCCAGTGGCAAGCACAGTGATCAAAAGCAGTGGATGGAAGATAGATTCCTTATCACTTTAGTGTAAATTCGAAGGGATTTCAGGCTATCATTTTGTATTAGTAAATTTATAAAAAAAAAAAAAACCCAACCTCTAAAATATCTAGCTTTTGATAGATATTTGATATCAGTCATTCTACAAGATTCAATCCCCAAAGTTGACAGCATGAATTTGAGTAGGGGTCTGAAAAAACATAAAATGGGTGCAGCCTAGGAAGATCAGGCTCCAGGGCTGTGGATAAACAAAGCTGCCAGCATGAATTAATAACCACAATAAATATAAGAACAGGTTCCACAGGCAGAACTATTGACAGTATTTCTTTCTATAAGTAAGAAAAGGTTTTAAGTAACTGGCTTCTATAAATGCTGGGAAGAAGTGAAAGCCATATAAATAATGTTACCTGTATTTTATTCACAGCAGCATCATGAGACAATCCTGCAGAAGTGGACTGGCTGTTCCCCATTCTATAACTAAAAAGAAATGACACGCAATATTTTGTTTCGATATTTCATTGATTTCTCTCCTACATGCAAGTTCACTAGAGCTGCAACACCCGCAGCCGTGCAGGTTTTTAGGAGGCTGCAGGGAGAGGGGAGCAGCGGMTGCTGCCGGCAGCGAACAGCCCGGCGGTGCCGTTACACGGGAAACGCCCCGCGCCGCGGCGGTGACAGCCACACACACACACAGACACAGACACGTGTGACACCCGCGCCACCGCCGCTCCCGCAGCCGCCCCGCGCCCCCTGCCCTGCCGGCCACCGCCGCCCGCTCCCGATCCCTGCCCTCATCCCGATGCCGCTCGCGATCCTGAGCCTGAACCCTGTCGTTCTCCCAATCGCGATCCCGATCCCACTCCYTSTCTTTCTCCCAGTGCYGATCCCGATCCCTCTTTCTCTCTCGGTGCGGACACTGATCCCGATCCCTGTCCTTGTCCCGCTCCCGGTCCTTGTCTTGATCCGGATCCCAGTCACGGTCGCGATCCCTGCTCCGCTCTCTATCCCTCTCCCCGTCCCGACACCAGTCCCGATCCCTGTCCCTGTCCTTGTCTCGGTCCCGATCCCGATCCCGGTCCCTATCCCTATCCCGATCCCCGTCCCGCCCCTGGTCTCAATCCCTGTTCTAGTCCCTCTCCTTGCCCCGGTCCCGACCCTGATCCCAGTCCCGGTTCCAGTCCCGATCCCTATCCCGGTCCTTATGCCTATCCCGGTCCCGATCCTGATCCCGATTCCTCTCCGTCCCCCTCTCCCTGTCCCGATCCTGACCCCGATCCCAGTGCCTCCCGAAGCCGGTTTCGATCCCTGCTCTAGTCCCGGTCCCTCTCCCCGTCCCAGTCCCAGTCCTTATCCCGATCCCGGTCCCGATCCTGATCCCGATTCCTSTCCRTCCTCCTCTCCCTGTCCCGATCCTGACCCCGATCCCGGTCCCTCCCGACCCCGGTCTCAATCCCCGTTCCAGTCCCGCTC